TGTAGGAGGAGTCTGATAATGTGGTTTTGTGTGTAGAGACAGAGGTGCTAATCTTCCTCGTTGGTGTAGTTCGGATCACATGGCACTCTGCTATAAGACACTTCACAAAACCTTATTGTTTCTTTTTCTCCTGAAACAGAACAGAAGTAGCAGACTCTTACTTTGGTTTAGCGACCATTGCGTTATTACCCCTTAACGTGCATGCGCAACGAGAGTTATACTATAATATTATTGCGCTGCAAATACCGTAATGTTATACGTGATTCTAAATATGGGTGAAACACGTGTGCAAAATTGACTTCGCACACCTAACATCGTTTTATTGGTCATTTCTGTCCATCTGTCTACCCTTGGTTTTTTGGATGTCTCGTGGTGTAGTGGCCGAAAACGTACCTGACCGACAGATTAGTTCAGTGCCAAGGTGCCGCACTGGCTTGATTAGAACAATGGCGATTACTCTGCATTGTAAGTGTAGATACTATCCCTCCTGTGCTAGACGCTTCACGAGCTACTATCATATAGCGGGAGACCACCCATCGATCATCATACTATACAACCCTTAACCAGACTGCATCCGTAACGCGTCGTTCTGTCACACCTATGCGTGCGCCCTTACTGTGTCTCCCGAGTTGTAGCATTCCACTCTAGTGTGTCCAGGTTTTTTACTTTATTCTTCGCACTAACCTCGGCGTGCATGCGCTAGAGGTTTCTAGTACATGGTTTCGTAATGTAGTCTGTCCTTCTGTCTGTCTGTCTGTCTGTTACCACGTTTTCTGCCACCACTGTGCAAGACATCGGGCCAAAGCAATGGGTTCAGTGCTACACTGGCTTCATTTTTAAAAAGGCGATTTAATTATACTGTGTTCTAAAGTTATGGCGTGAAAACCAAGTGAACAAGCCAATATGGTAGGCTTACCTCGACTGGATTCCCCAGTCTGATCGATCTGCGTGCTCTGTGTACCTCGGAGGCACCAGAAGATGCAACGCAGGGCGTGTGTCGCCTCTGGCATGCTATCTAGTAGTGTAGTTAGCCTGCGTCAGACTCTGCGCGAGCTGGCAAGAGTAACAGCTAAAACTAAACCCAGCCCATCAATTAGTGGTACGGTGCATGCGTTTACTTACGTGTGCGCGTCACAATCCGCCGAGGGTTTGCACTTCAGTGCTTTTCATTACTATTGTGGACACCATGCTTTATATCCCATCTCTCTTGTTTTTCACTCCCTTGTTCAGGACTCACTTGCAGGCAGTGTGCAGAGGAGTGTTCCCGTCATTATCTCTGGTGTTTGGATCACAGTTAGCTTCATTGGTCAGATACCTCATTGCATCAAGATTACCTGCCCTGTAGGGAAGACGTTAGCACAGAAGTTATGAAGATTTACCTTATTGTTTATGTACTAATAGGTTCCCCAGTGTTGCACAGAGAAAAAATAACATCAAATAGGCTGTTGTTAGCGGTTTGTGGCACAGTGAGGTAGCTAAGCATTGCTAGATGTTTACAGTTAGCAGCATCGACAGAAAAAAAACGCAGGCACGTCATCAAAAAGTGCTTGCAGACAGGGGTGTGGGAATAACTATTTATAACAGCATAGCCAAGCCCAGAGGTGTGCACACATATCCTGGATTGAACAACATAAAATTGATAAAACAAAAAGTTGGACGAATATAGCTAGGGCTATCAAAATAATATACGGCCATTTCATACTAAATTTTGCAAGCAAAACCGAAAACTTGCCAGCAAAGGGGTGCTGTACATGCATAAACGGAGCTAACAGAGACAGTCATAATTATTATGGTGTTGTTAAGTAGATAACACTTGTTTTGCTCTGCCAATCATTCTACCACCTGTTGTTCAAAGAATGATGTAGTATAGTAGTCAGTGTAAAAAGTGTTGTTACTACTGTTGAGTGATTGTGAGCCAGACTGAGCATTTTCAATCACGTAACGAGTACATGTATTGGTGCACAGAAAGTTATTTGCGCTGAGAATCGAAAGTTAGTTTTAATGCTTTCATTGTCTCTTTTGTAGCTATCGTAGAACACCTGTAAAATCACTTCATTACTGACCAAGGTGCATGTCAACTACACAAAAATATTAGCAAAAAAGCTGCAACCAGTAATGTGTCCAGAAGAGGGTTGATAACCCAAAGACGATAATCAGTATATCCAGCCCAATACTTTTTAGTGCGAGTAAATTGTTAGACACCAAGGTAGCAAACCTGATTTTTGTGTGATTCTGCAATTTATCTTATGTACCGCTTGCAACTTTGGCAACAAAGGTGTTCCATTACATGGCATGCTTAGACAAGATTCACATAATTCCCTGCCGCGCCTTGCAGATTTGCTGCATTGCACCGATAGAATCCATTCTCATCTTCGTGGCAAAACAATGCTCCAACACCTATGTAATATCCTCTAGGTAGTGTTCATGATTCACAATTCAGGTCTTACCCAGTATTGTAGAAATGCTGCGCTAAACAGTTTCTAATGACCATGTCAGTGCTGATACTGTCTGAATTGAGCGGTTTTTATGCATTCACCAATGTGCATGTGCGAACATCACATACAGTGGGAAACTGGTGCAACCCCACAGGGCAAACATGCAGGGGAGTCTCAGAATAGTGTTACGTAGGATATCTTCACAATGCTGCATGGAAAGGACGTTGGCGCGCATGCACAGCGAGGGTTACGGTAGTTGTCTGTCTGTCTGTCTGTGTGTCGACACTTACAGGCTATGAGGTGGCCTATTAGCGATACCAGCGGCTTCAGAACTACGCGAGCCGGAAAAATAAAAGGGCCATTTTCCTAAAACAACTGCTTTGGAGAGATATGCCGTGAAAATAAGCGAAAAAGCCAATATGCAGAATCGAACTGGGCTTACCGCGACCTGATCCGCTTGTTCTAGTATATACCTTGGCGGCATAAGAAGTCCCAACAAAGGGCGTGTATCGACTCCCGCATGCTATCTACAACTGTAGCTAGCCCGTGTCAGACTCTCCACGAGCTACTTGCGCGGAGACCACGAGTGTAAACGCATAGTGATAACCCAGCCCATCAATTAGAAGTACTGCACATGTGCAGTGCGCTGAGGGTTTGCACTTCAGTGCTTTTCTTTCCAGTATTTTCTCAGTCATGCAGCATGTAAATACACACCAACTAGAATGGATACTGAGCAAAGGGACCTTGAACGCTACGCCCTATTACATTCTCTACATGCAATGAGAATCACTAGAGTGAAAACCATCGGCACAAGAGAAACGCTCGAACTGCATGTTGGTGCAACATGCACAAACAATGGGCCATGATGGCGTCAGATTCTCGCTCGAACAAGATATCACTCAGTCGAGAGCATTTCAAGCAACGCTGGACTAGATACTCGTCAACTGCCCTAAACAGTGTGTTAAAGAGGCAAATGCTAGCTCATGTTTCACCTTGAACACAGTAGTATCTCTGTTTCATTATCAATGTCCTAGTAGCAACCATTGGTATTGCTCATTGTTGGCAATGCACACACACAGACAGACCAAGTATATATAATAACCAATTCACTGCTGGTGCAATGAGGACCTACAAACGACAATAGCACGAGGTGTTGATTAGAGCATAGTACTTAGCTATAATGGTGAATGAAAAGCACTAAAGTGCAAATCCTCGGCGAAGTAGCTCGCAGAGAGTCTGACACGGGCTAGCTACAGTAGTAGATAGCACGCGAGAGTCAATACACGCCATTCGTTGTGACTTCTTGTGCCTTCAAGATAGACAGAGCAAGCGGACCCCGTCGAGGTAAGCCTGTGCTAAATATAAGCGCATGCGCATTATCCGCCAGCGATAAAATGGCGACTACCGGCATTAGCTATACAATGCTGGAAGTGCTCTAGCTTTGTAACGGAGCATTTTCAGAGAAAACCCCACATATTTTCTGACCTTCGTCGCCCGTTGGGTAGATGGTATCGTTTCTGGGACGAACAGACACTCGAGAAGTGAGATTGAGAGTAACGGACAGACAGACCCAACTACCGTAACCCTCGCTGCGCATGCGCGCCGAGGGTTAACTAGTATTAGTGTCTTACTCTAAAACAAGGAAATATGCAGGAAAGAGGGTAGAGTGGATAGTAGGTGAATCAGGGAATGTTTTTCTTGTGTGTACAGTCAAGTACACAACATGAACATGCTTCTTAATTAAGTTTTCGTGCATCTTAGTACACTTGCCTAACTAGGGATTTGTTAACATAAACAAAAGATGCTCCCCAACCACATGATGTTTTCTGCCTACTACACAGAATAATAATGGTAAACTATCACAGGAGTAGCTACTTGATAATCCCTTCAGCGTTAAGAGATGCAGCTCACCCACTGGCAAAGTGAAGAGGGGTGTGTCCATTGGTCGTAACATTTGGATGACAATGAGCTTTTGTTGTTAGGTACCTCATCACATCCAGATCACCATTCCAGCTATGAAAACAAGCACTTAGTATTAAACCACAAACACTTTGCTCATCTACAGCCCGCTCATTCCAATTTTAGTGATTTGGCAGGAGTATATTACTTGTATTAGCAAGTGATAGCTATAGCATGGGGCATATGGTTTCACTAAATTGTTTTGCAGTAACTAACTGTCATAATTGATGTAGAAAGTTATAGCTAGACTTACTGTTTGTTGTGGGAGTGCACTATACAGGCCTTACCGACACAAACAGCAATGTATGTCCTTGGCACAGGCTGCGCTTATGCGTTTGCCGGACTATCATAGCCAAGAATATGCGAGCCATTATAACCAAAATACCTAGTAGGTAATCATCACTCACAGTGCTGCATGGTGTAGAGGACTCCATCCCTGAGAGTCCCGAACATCATTTACTCCCACTTGACTGGACAAACGTCTTACAGTTTAAGATCTCCCCGTTGACATGCCAACAGCAGTGCCTCCTGCACACATATCCAGTCCAGTATCGCGCAATTATAACAGCAGTGGACTGCATGCATAATACCTCTGTGTTGCTCATTATCCTGGCATCGTTCTGTTCGACCTGGCCAAAAATCACCCAGGGGCGCAGACTCAGCTCGGGGCACCTAGCCCGTCAAAATACGCATGCGCGTGCGGGCAATGCTATATAGTATGGGAGGTGATTCGTGCCAAAATTCGACGATGTGACGAACCCGTTTTGTTCGTCTGGAGGAGGCGTGTCTCGTCGAGCGGAGGCGCGTTTTTACGAGTGGAGAGGCGTGTCTCGTCGAGCGGAGGCGCGTTTTTACGAGTGGAGTGGCGTGTCTCGTCGAGAGGAGGCAAGTTTTTTTTCAAGTGGAGAGGCGTGCCAAGTTGAGAGGAGGAAGGAGGCGAGTTTCTTCGTGTGGAGAGGCGTATCTCCACAGTCGGGTTCCCAGAACCGCCTCCGGTCAAAGGGCAAGGACGGCGTTAATAAGAATAACTTCCTAGGATGGCTATTCATACACGGCTAGTATGGCTGACCTTCAAGACCGCGCACCGCGCTCTCAAGAAGCTGCTGCTGCAGCTGACAGGTCGCACTCACCAGCTGCTCTAGGTCTGACATCCGGGCTCTCACGACGTGTGTCCAGCGCCGCATAAACCGCGCCCCTCCCGCTGAACGAGACTCGCCTTCTCCACACTTTCGCGCTCCTCTCCACTTCAAAAAACTTGCCTCCTCCTCTCGACGAGACACGCCACTCCACTCGTAAAAACGCGCCTCCGCTCGACGAGACACGCCTCTCCACTCGTAAAAACGCGCCTCCGCTCGACGAATCACGCCTCCTCCAGACGAACAAAACGGGTTCGTCACATCGTCGAATTTTGGCACGAATCACCTCCCATAATATAGCACATCTCACGTTTGAAAAGCGCGGTTTTTGTTCAAAGCAAAGCTAGCTAGCTGAAGAGGAGAGCAGAATAATGAGTGAGTAGTTCTACCCTAACATTGAGGGGTACAGATATCGTATGGTAAGTGTGACGGTATCCAACCCGTACTGGCGTTCGCCACTTCTTGCTCGCAGAGGAGAGAGGGGCGGACTAGAGTCGCGAAAGTGGTTTATGACACAAGCAGTCAACTATTTAGCTTTTTCATCACGAAAGTATCGATTGGCGTGGTAACTATAGGTGCAGATCCGTACATATTCGTGATTCATATCACATCCAATAAAGTCCATGAACGTTCTTCTTTACAGGTAGTTACCGCAACAGGAATGATCAAGTTCTGGCTGAGCTTCTGTCACATATACCAGAAGGCCCTTCTGGCTATCTAGGTTAGTATTTAGCTTACCATAATGGTTGATAAAAGCATAGTTTTTGTTTCATTTTTTGTTTCGCCTACCATTTCCTGGAGTCTATTCTGAGCTCTCTGACCTTAGATATTGATGCTCTGCCTTTCCTGTACCGAGTCCTCCACCAACTAGCCTCTCGCTGGAACTCTCTCTCCCTACAACTGAGTGTCAGTGGCCAGGATGAGATCCAACGCAATGCCCGCAGTGCTGACATTTGTCTGGCAGTGAGTCTGGTGGAGTGGCTACAGAGTGGCCAGGCCACCTGGAAAGCTCTGGTGGAGGCTGTCTTCAGACCTGCTGGTGGGGGACACCAGGTCCTGGCCAGAGACATTGCAAGGAACTATAGAAGTAAGCATGTTACTTGTTTTGACTTGATACCCATGTGTATAACATGTTCTTGTCCCACAGAGAGTTGAGCAAAACATCATATCTCTATTCATTAGCACATAACAGTGGTTACATCTGTGTACCAAGCTTCATAGGATAGGTTGATACCCACCACTGTCGATTCATGGGGTGTGATAAGCTACGGGGAAAGGGTGGCATTGAGTGTAAACAACACAGTCGAATTTGTCAACGTGAACGTGGTTTGTATCTTTTACTCCTGTTAGGTCTCTGTGTGTTCAAGCCAAACTGTTTTGCTGCTACTGTCGCACCTATTGAGATTTGTGAGTTCATTCATGTGTATCCCCAACAAGGGGTAGTTTCTTGCTGCATTGCATAGTATGTGGCTACACTTGATATGAGTAAAAAAAACCCAAGTAATTATGGTCCACCTCAAGTGTTGTTGTGTATTATAGTCTTAGGAATATCATCAGTGTCATCAGAAGAGTCGGTGAGACTCATACAGAAGATGCTCAACAACTCTGTGGCTGCTCGCTGGTACCAGATGGGTGTGGTAATGGGGGTGCCCCCCTCTGATCTGGAGATAATCAGAGAGAGTCCCGAGTACCACGGGGCAGGGGAGAGAGAAGCTGGCATGTTCAAGGCCTGGCTGGAGAGAGGTTCTCTGCCCAGGACCTGGCAGGTATGGCTATCAACATGGCGCATATGAACACACTATAAGTAGGTAGAGGTCTGAGACTGCTTCTCTTCTTCACTTTTAGGTGTTGGTGGATGCAGTAGAGGACAGAGCTGGTGGCAATCACAAAGTTTTGGCAAAAAAGATTTCCAGTTCTCCTCTGGGTAAGTTTTCTTAACTATTACCACAGAATTATGATGTAATTTAAATGGCAGTCCCACCAATACCCTTGTAGTTTCGCAATGTAATAACATTGCACAACTTACTCTGGTAACTACATAGGAAACCCACACTTGTATTACCAAAGTGCATGATGTGAAGAGCCCCTTTCATAATGAAATTGAGTGTCCAGCATAGCTAGTGTCTGCCATAGCATAGGGAATACACATGTCCAGGTGCACACTGTCTTTTTTTCTTTCAGAATCCTACCAAGTGGCCCCTTCTCCAGTCACCACCACCACTAGTGCAAGTAATACCAATCCATTGATAGCCTAGAAACAATGACTAATGGAGTACAGTATTGGGACTGGAGGTTGACAATAGAGTACAGTAATCCACCAATTAAAGCTGAGAACCAAACCTTTATTGTAGGGTGCACTACCTTTCTCCTGCCTCATGCCTACTAACACACCGTATCTAATATGAGGCGTTTAGGGAAATTATGAATATGCTGTACACAGAGGAGGTTGCGCACAATCAACCTTCCTAAGCAGTTCACGCATGCGGCTACTTTTGTTGAAGCAACAAAGTTGCCGCGTGTATGGCCTGCTTAGGAGCTAGCCTCCTGCTGTTGGTTATATATATATCTCTCTCACCATCCATCTCTCTCTGCTTATTGTTTATAGGTCAATCTTCCAAGAAGCCTAGCACCACAAGATCATTAGGTAATTAAAATTTGTGTAATGCAGCTAGAGTCAATAATTAAATTCTACACTGCTACACTATTATTCCCTGGTCACCTAGAAGTCATTGTGTAAACTGTTTATACAAGTAATGTGGCATAGCTAAACTTATGAGAATTCCTCGTTTTGTTATGACAATTTTTAGGGGCTCAGGTCACCTTTTAGTAATACTCTTTATGCTCTGAATGTACTCACGCCACACCCTTATAGACTCCACCCCCAGTCTGAGAGACCTGACAGTGTTCAAGACCAGATCGGGAGAAAAGATTGAGATCATCAAGTCCCTGGCCCCAGAGTGGAAGTCATTTGGTGTCCACCTCAACTTTGACGACATGGGGTCCCAGCTGTCACTCATTGAGGCTCAGCACGGCCAGAGTAACCCACAGAGCTGCTGCCGGGACATGATGATCCACTGGCTGCTGGGGAATGGGGAGGGGCCCACCACCTGGAGAACTCTGCTGGCCCTGCTGGAGGATAGCGAGAGGGCCTACCTCGCTGATTGCATCAGGAGAGAACTGATAGCTCACTAACATAGTCACTGCTGGCACTTTCATGACATACATCATGCCATACATTATGCAATAGGAAGCTGCTGTTTTTTTGACACAATTATTGTAGACGCCAATATGTTTGCTCAGCTAAAGTCATATTCCAGTTGCCCATAGGGTAGCTATATATCTTTGTATGATGACTGAAAGTAAGATCAAAGGAATTCCAGCTAGTCCAAACAACGTAGATGCGTAGTGAGCGCTTCCTGCTCTGTCTACGGGTAGTTAGAACATAAAGAGGCCATACAATTTCCCCAATACTTTAGCTGGATGTCAACTCATTTGCATAAACCACAGTGGGTCTACAGGAGTTAGACGATAGGCAGCGTGGAATGCAATTGGGGGCTTTTACACTCTTTGTGTGCTGCTGTTTCTTTACCAGAAGGGAGTGTTTTCAGGCTAGAAACTGCTCTAGTATATACGCGGTCTGAAAACTAGCGAAAGCTGCTTCCCGACGCGTATGCTCCCGTGGACTGGAACAGTATTCGGTGACTTTCATCTTTCGTGCTACTGCAACAGGCTGCATTCGAGAGTGCTGGGTATAGCGGGAGAGAAAGCGAGCAAGAGCGGCAGCTACAAAACTCGTGTGGAGTATAGCGTACCTGTAACGTTGAAATGACCATGGCTTCTGCACAGCCGCCCAGCTTTACTAAACTAAAGCGCTTATTGCAGCTGTCTCTCTCCCGATCGATTGCTAGCTAGCTCTCTCCCCGTCCTCTGGGCCACCGCCATACACTCGGTGGTGTGCGTTAAAAAGAGGGCGTTTGAAAGCTTTTGCGCAATCTCATTGGTCAGAGCCTTACCGCCGGATGTCATCATACAAACACGTTATACGATGGCATTGGCTTGTGGTCTACTGATTGCACACTCGTGGCTTCAGTTTTGATAGACCACTCGGGCTACGCCCTCGTGCCCTATCAAAACTGGCCACTCGTGTAGACCACGCGCCGCCATCGTATAACCTATACATATATGAACATGTGCCAAAAGCTCATCTGAAAAGTGTCCCCACTTGGAGAAAGTTTGGTATGCTCACGGATTATGCACACCCTAACAGCTGGCCACAGACACTTTTCCAGAGCTTTTACTACTTTATGCATGGTTTTTTTATACTCATGGGGTCCAAAGGCAGTTACTATAAACCTTGAACCAACTCTCATTTTTTGGCGAAAAAATAACATAGAGAGACATAATTAGTATGGCTATATACACATTAATGTTTATGTCACTAGTACAGTGGTGGATCCAGGGAGGTTCCATGAGTTCCGCAGCACACCCCTTTTTGTCATTTTGCACGCATGCATCGTCGGCCTCGTGTTTGTGTGGGAGATTATTATAGTGAAGACCAATTCACATCATGCTCTTTTTTCCCGTCATATAAAAGTCATAGCAAACTCGGAGCCAAAGAGACTCGTGAGTCAGAAGAACAGGTAGGTAGCCAGGTTTCTCTACCCTCTCTGTAAGATCTCATTAACACGTTACATGCAGTAGGCCACTATGTATACTGGACCACTTGAATGAGGTTAGAAAAAGACAAAAGCTGCAGTGGCTATACTCTAACCCCCATTCCCCCAAGCCTTGTGTTCACAACGAACCGCACCCCCCCCCCCAGACCACACATTATCAGTAGGTCAAACTATTCAACACACGTGATCTAATCAAAAGGGCAGTCAATAACACACATACTTATTCATTAAAGACCAGTCATACTATTATGTTACAATACATTATTGAATAATAATGTTATTAGGAGCGGCCATCAATAATTAAGTCAGGGAGTTGTTCTTCATCAATGGGAACATAAGCATCTCTGCCCTTCTTGCAAAATACCAGCAACTTGTGAAGTATGGTGACATAAAGCTGAATACTTATTACAAGAATTAAGCAGCTCAAGAAAATCCCAGCGGAAATGTACACGGCTGTCTCTTGCCTCCCACCAGTACTTGAATAATAAAGAGAAAGTATCGCGAAGAGCTTAAGATTCACCAAGGAAACAACTTCAAACAGTGAAATGTAGTATTTTCGATAAACCTTACCAAACAACAGAAGAAGCAAAAGTAGTACTAAGGCAACAAATACAATGGCTAAAAGGCTTGCTTCAACAGAGGCAAGAGGATCAGCCGCTGGAAATATCACACACACTCTCGCCAGTAGCAGAATTCCAACCCAGTAACGGCGACGATCCTTCAGAGGGCCATAGTATTCATCGAATAGCGGTCGTAGCTTCCCCAACCACTTTAATCCCCTCAGGTGGTTGTATCTCTGCAGCCAGTGACCCAGGAGAATAAGGACAGTGAATGGTAACCAGAGAGTGAGGAACACAGCAGTGCTCACAGCAAAAAGCGAAGCATGCTGGGGCCCAAGGTAAAGAATATTACCATCATATGTCCATACAACTACGATACGTTCATTTTGAACTTGGATGTTAGTAGCTGAATAGACAGCTATTACCACTCGAAGAAGCTTGTTGTACGACAGAAGAAATATCGTTGCTAAAACATGAACAGTATTGTTCCCAAAGAACCTTGTGGCCAGTTGTGAGTATCTACAGGCCAGTATGATTCCTCCTGCTAGAATCCAAAGATAGAGAGGAAATACAAATTGTAGCCAAGTCTTGAGGTACATGTCCAGTGATCCAGAGAAGCAGGTCTCAATTCCAAAATCAAAATTGAACCAGGCTATTATTGTAGCAAATACTCTAACTCCAACCTCATTAGACGATAGAAGCACTCCTTTGTTTGTTTGGACAATGTTAGCATACAAAACGAGACCGCTGATGAGTCCCTGAGTTACCGTCAGGTTGAGATACTTGATGGCAAGCACAAGCAGGACTCCTGCCACAGCAAAGACTGCTAAGAGGGAGAGGTATCTGTTAGAACAGTCGGCGAGGCAGTTTGAACTGCCAATGGCAAGGCTGAAGTTCTTCCGGCATCCTCCACACAGAACTCCAGAGCGATGATGGAGACATTGTAAATCTGCTCCATCAACATTGCTGAGGTTAACTTGCAGAAAATCTGGGTTGCAATATACTAGGGGGCATTGCTTACTGTAGCTGGAAGTTGTATTAGTGTCATCGACCCAGACACTGTATTCCCTTCCAATGCTCTGTGTATCAATGTCACAAGACACTCTGTATCTTCCAACATGGTGTAGAAAAGTTGCATCACATTGACAGCCGCTGTCGCCAAGAGCAAAGCCCCTGGGACAGGAGAGAGTGTCCAGGTTAATGAAAAGTGGCAAAGTTACAAGTTGTCGAGGTACGTGAGTGATGTTTTGCTTTAGATTCTCTTGCTTTAGATTCTCTCTGTACTGCACAAGGATAGCATCAATTTCGGCTTTGTTCACAAACTCAGAAACAACTATATTCACTGCCGTGAGTACCAATGTTTCACTTTCTCCTGTTGCCAGTTTGTATTTGAGAGTATTGATGGCGTCTGTACAGTTGCGAATACCTACCGTCTGAACTTTCTGCTCACTTGGGATGATAGTACTGCTGCTTTTGTTGAGGATTTGTGCATAGACTGCTCCTCTCACTGTACCAAACTGCTGACCAACTGTGAATGCTTGGATGCCAACAGTTTGACCGGGGTAAATTGAAACACTCCTCTCATACTCCAGACAACGAGCTGTACCATCATCTTCACAGAGGCATACACGAGATGGTGGTGATGTGACTGAGGAAACACTCTTCTGAGCAAAGGTTGACATGTTTGCTATCACATCAATGCAATAGTAGACAGTGTTTCCAAATGTTGTGAAGTCAAAATATTCACCAAATATATCATCCCCGCCATTTTTAGCGGTGTTGCTATCGAAAAGGAAAATACTGTTGGATGGCGGTTTTTCCTGGACAAAGCACCATGCATGACTATACCCAAGTAAAAGCTGGATATAGGATGCACGATTTGTTCTTAGATATATAGCTCCACCAGTGTAATTAGCAGTGTTGTGGGCAAAGGTTAGCCTTGTTTCATTAGTTGCCAGAAAAATCCTGCTTCCTTCACCCAATGAAAGACACGCTCCCTCATACCCAATATTGGCAGTGAATTCGTTGTGGCCAGAACACTCTAAGAATGAATCTTCGAGAAACACAGCAGTGCCAGTGTTATTCCTGAAGGCACAGTCACTCATTGTGATGTTTACTGCAACCATCATTGTTGTAACAGTGTCTGAGTAGGTGTTTGACTCAACGGTGACATTAACAAGCTCCACAACTGCAGGGTACGCTGAATTATAGCCTCTAATGACCATTGCAACTCCATAATCCTCTCGACCATAGTTCCATCTGAGTTGTGAGTTCTTTATGACTGCACTGGGCGTAAAGGGGTTGTCAAGCCCTAGAGAGAGGGCCGTTCCATTGACCCCCTGTATTGTACTATTGAGAATGGTTACGTTGCAGAATCCCCAAAAAGCGGCAATCTCAAGCCCCAGTCCAGTGTAATATGGTCCTGATATCAACACATTCTCCACCAAAATGTCCAGAAAAGAGCTATCAGTGTCCGATGCATCAAAATCAGAGAGAACGAATCCCGAAGGCCACTCCAGACCGGTAAATTTCCGTATCAACCACAATTATTGTGGTATTGGTTATAAATTTATTACTGTACAGAATATTAATGGCTAGTAATGCAAACTGGGGTCCCAAGTAATAGTATATTGATTCTGAAATACTAATGAGTCCATTGACATTAAAAAAAGAGGTCATGAAGCGAGTGCCGGAGGACGTATCTGTCAGTCTTATCACCACATTGTGAAATTTAAAGTAACCAGTTGACTCTGTCAAAAAAATACTAGTAGTGCAGTTACTCTCCATCACCATATTGGTCATCTCTACATTACCGATATTAGTTAGAGAAAATAACGTATAGAGTGAAGCACACGTACTCACAGCAAGTCCAGAGAAAGAGACGGAATTACCATTTGTTAGTGAAAACCACGGAGCTGTCAAACTACTATCGGTAAGAATTATCAAGGAAGCATTATTCCCTGTGAAGTTCATTCCAGAAACACCGAATCCGTTGTACAAGCCATGCACCTCATGAACTCCAGGCAGAAACAAGAATGTGGTATTGTCAACAAAGAAAGTCTCAGAGTCGCTCAAATAGTAATCAAATGTATGGCAAGAGGTGTTGCAGGGACAGGAAGAGAGATCAGAGGGAACAATACACAGCTCAGTTGCAACTCCACTTGATAAGGGAATCGATACTACTACCAACCAAAAGACAGTACCATAGATGCATCTCATTTCCTGCAATAGGGATTAGACATATTATAGCCCAAAGGCATAGCACAATAATGTGTGAATGTTAGTGGTGTACACTATGCAGTGTAGTAAGTTACTACAGGCACCGTCACGGGTCATGAAGTCTTCCGTAGTCACCGTCACGAGCATTCCGTATTTGGTTGCAACCCACCCCAGTCCCACCCACAGGTTTATAGACTCCACATTATAACACACTAAATTGCTTCTACTAGCCATAGATCGAGGATACAATTGTACTAGCTACTTTTATTTCAAGTAGCCCGTCTCTTTGGCTATGCCAAACTGCCGCCGTTCGTGCGGTGCAGCAAACATCGTCCAATCCCCCCCCCACAACAATAAGTTTTGTTTGCCTGCGTCCTGCTGAGTGCCAAATCCTCGTTACCTTCGTCCTTCAAGTAAACGTCCTTTGTCTTCCCAGGTATGCATTTGTGCATGCGCATGCGTTCAGCTCTAGCTATATATAGCTAGCTAGCTAGCTAGTGTTAACCATAGATGCGCATGCGCGAAGATGGTTAATTAGACATAGCGCGCATGCGCATTAACGCCCAGTAAACGTGGCGTTTTTACACATCGGGATGCATTCTGGACGGCCGGTTGGGCAACCGGACAACAAACCGTCCGAAGATGTCGGGTGCTGAAAGACGACCGCCAAGTGTGTCGTTTGAAACAGCGCTTCGCATCCTTCGCAGCACATTCCACTTCGAAGACGTCCTCCAGTCGTCCTTCAAGGAACTACCCTGCTACGACGACCGCCACTTTTACTTCGAGGGCCGGTTGATTCCAACGGCGCAGCGCCGCGACGCGGATGACGGAACTGCCGGGAAATTCGAACGGTTTGTATTGCGCACCAGCAACCTAATGTTCCCCGCTGGACTGGTAGAGGGGTTGAACGCTCTAATGCTCCACCTATCGTCTCGTGGAATCAACTGCAGTCGACCGATCGCCAGTCGAGTAGGTCGCTACATGGAGATGATTCCTGGTAAGAAAATCTCTCAGACCGGCCACTACCCACAGGAGTATCCAGTCAGAGTGCTTCAGTTTGTATCCGGTTTACTCATGAGCGAGTTAGATGCTGAGTGTTTAACACCTACATTTCTCTACAGTGTGGGCCGCTTTGCTGGCAAAGTAGATGCAGCACTACAGGTGAGTTTAATATTCCCAAAACTTCTAACCTAAACCGTTACTAACACAGGATTTCAGTCATCCAGCAATAGAGGATTTCGTGAACGAGTGCTGGGACCTACAGCACTTCTCCTGCCTCAAAAGGTACATCTCGTCTCTGTCGGAGAAGAAGAAAATAGCAATGGCCAACTCTGTCATGAAACTGTACGAGGAGAAAATAGAGCCCATGCTGCCTAGCATGAAGAAAGGTGTGATTCATGGTGATCTAAATGGAAAGAACATCATAGTACAGCAATCAGAAAATTCTGCCGCAATAGTAGGACTCATTGATTTCGGAGATTGTGTGCATTCCTACTATCTCTTCAAGCTGGCCATACTGGTAGCCCATAGGTAGCCGACAGGCGTGGAGGGGGAACATGTGTATGCGACTGAACCAGAGAACATGCACATGCAGCACTACATTCCTAATGCCTGGAAGTTGCTCTCTCAACTGCTGCCTGTGTCTAAAGACAATGTAGAGGCATCGTGGTATATTACCAGTGTTGAACCTTGTTTCGTGTTTGAGTTCTGCGCATGCACATCTTTGCGTCATTTTCTGTGTGTACGCACATTGCAGCTGTGTAGTTCGCACCTTGCATGGGCCGTGGATAAACCTTAACTAGAGATGCAGATTAGGCAGATCATGAGCTAAGAAATCGTCGTGTAGATAAAGCGGCACTCAGCACAGCATTAAAGTTGAGTGATTGGTGTTCCAAATGGTCAGCTATGCCTTTCTCAGCTCCTAAAACTTAAAGCTGCAACAATATCATCACATGCTCATTATGTCTGATCAACATAGAAACAATAGGCAAAGTTTTTGCTTAAGTTTATAACACAGCGATATGGCTGTTTACTCAAATGGCAACAGTGTTGCTCATGCAGTGCGTGGTTTCAGCAGGTCTTCAGCTTTTGGGCGTTCACCTAGCTTTTTCCTGACCTGCAGTAATACAAAGATCAATTGATAATGCGTGTCATTTCCATAATAATTATAACGATATAATCGTGGTGGCTATTTGGGGCTAATTGTGTAGCATAATCCCTCCTCGCATTCCTTTACGTAACAAAGAACTGAACCTCGATGCATTCCTTGTCAAAGGAGACACAGGCTGTCTTGCTCTCCAAGTCTCTGTCAATCCTCTCCAGTGTCATCTGTAGTGTCCCCAGCCCCTGCCTGTAGGGGGACGTGTACATGAGTCACCGGGTGGAAACACAAGGAAACAATGACACCTATATCGGACAACATGAAAAAGAGCTGGGGGGACTAAAACCCACATGAATAAATACCACTGGATGCTACTTGTGGTGCATGCTCATGAATTAATACTCTGAATTCTTGGTCTTGAAGTGACACATATTATGTCATGAATATAGGGATGGTGTAAAAAAGCAAAGGGACAGGACAGGGATGACCTAGTTAGAGTTACATAACGTAATGCTTTTGGATGATGATATGAGCAATCATGCTCACACCTGGAGACATGACAGATATTTCTTTGCAGCACATGCCTTCAATAGGTAGAGGTGCCTAATGAAACATTGTACTCATGGCACACAACCTATACAGCAATGTGCCTTGACGATCCACTGGCTGCTGGGGAATGTGGAGGGGCCCACCATCTGGAAGTTGAATTGTGCATACTCGTAGCTGAACTTTCCAAGCAAACATACGGAGAAAGCAACTGTGAAACCATAGTTTCTCTACTCAACATGAGAATTACAAGTCTTAAGAGACCTAGCTATATACCACTCTTCGCTGTAAAAAGTTACTTGACAAAATGCTGAATTTCAAAATTTTTTGCACACCTATATTTCTGTGAAGTTTGGATCACTCTGACTAAGTGGTTGATCAAGTCGGTAAAAAACAGTGCCACTCTATCCCTGAATAAGGAAAGAACACTCGGTGTTATGCAGGTAGCGACTGCATGTCTAAACCACAACCCGAACACTCCTGGTTTCCAGAGTAAGACCTCAGTATATATAGACAGGAAACAATCAATACACACACACCAGCCCGCTAGCCCTGCCAAAGACCTTCAAATATCAAAATCTACCACGAAAAGGCAGCTTCCGGGAGAAAAAAGATTGCGCATGCGCAGATTTCGCGCTCCGCAGTGTCTTATATAGACAATATCGCCACTTGCAGCGTTTCTACCGAAGCAGCAGTAACCTTTACAGGTCGAGCGAGTAATGATCGGCCTCCAAAGAGCAACCGCGGACGTCGAAAACAGTATGTGAGCTTTTACCTTTGCCGTTGTGCCGCCGCGATCTCGTTATGGACCGCGTTCGCGCGGGATATATAGTGCTGGTCTCCTACCGATAGCTAATCGAAACGACAGCTAATCATGGTATACTGCAGTTAAAAGCTCCAGGGACATATATAAAGTAGTCGTTTTCGCAGTCTGCGCGCACTTTGTGTGCAATAGGAATTGCAGATATCAGTATGTCTATAAACGAGTATGTATAGCATGACTATCTTTATAATACTGGGTGCAAACGGTACGAAAGGGGGGATGCGAGCTACAATTAATTGTTGATGTACATTTCCCACAGTTTTTCAGAGTCCACTTCAGATTTGCAACTGTTGCGGGAGGGCGGGAATGGTTGCCAACTCTAAGTGCTACACTGAGCTGCCCAGCTCCTACAACTGCCGTACACATCAGGGCCTTACAGAACACAACCCACAACTGCAGGTCCTGCAGGGAGCACCACCCCCACCTGCCTATGCTCCAGTAAAACAACAGCTACCGATGATGGCCAAGGACTTTTGTGGACTTGCAGCCCTAGTGACTCCCTTAAAAACTTGGTACTTTGAGGTGAAAGTCGTCAGCTAAAAACTCTTGTCGTTTTGCAGCCCTCATAACTTGAACCACAGTCTCATTGTGTGCACTCAGTGTTTGTAAAACAATTTGTCCCTCTTTATGATACACCTGCTCCTATGATTAAACAAGATTGAAAGTGCTTTTCAAAAATGAGTCAACTGAGGGAGTATCCATGTGGTGCACGAAGGCTGTCAGGGAGGCTGTCAGGAAAGTCAACAGTGCATGAGGTGCATGTGTATGCCTGCTCGTGTGTAGCTATAAAACAAATTCAACTACACTACATTAATCCACATTTCAAACCACGGTGGTTACCGAAAACAGAGTGCATAATGAAACCTGAAATGGAATCCATCAGACATGACAACATGTTTTCTTTAGAGCAACAAAAGTGAGTGGCAAGTGCATGGTTAGTGAGTGTGTCGTATCCTGACATAATGTCTCTCTTGTGTTGGCTAGGACTGGCCTGGTGGACAAGTGGATTGAGACGAATGGCCACACAGCCACGTATCGTGCATTAGCCAAATGTTTGTTTGAAGCTGGTGCTCTTTTTTTTTCATGGTTAGGCTTTGCAGGGAGTTTGGCACTACTTGAACACCAACAGTTGTATCAGATGGAGGTGCGGTCCTTGTCCATAGCGCAAAACACCCTTTCTACACTGTACCATGTATCATGTTCAGTGTTTCATGTTAAAATCCCAAGCTTCCTCTCTTCCTTAATAATTCTTTGGTTATAATTGGGCCTTAGCTCTATGCATAGAGATATGCCAGCATTTTGGTAGATTCCAACATTTTGTACTGCAGGTGATAACGTCTACATCACAAGTCTGTCAAGACAAGCTGGGACCATCAACATACTCCAGAGGGTGGGGCCAGACTACAAGCCACTCCTGGGGAACATTATACTGAGGAGTGAGGATGGACAGAGGATCAGAACTCTGGAGATGACTCACTCCCGACAATGTCGATGGAGTCGCGTACGACATGTTCCAGAAGTGGATTACAGAGGATGAGGACTGTACCTAGGGTGCACTAGTTCTCCATCTCCACATGCCAGTCTGGAACTCTAGCCAGAGACATACAATATGCTCTCATTTGAATCCTTTCAGAATGGGACCACTTTGGCAATTTTTTCTCATTCGCAAGTGTGGTTTAATGTGCAAATTATTCAGTGCTGGTTTATTTCCTCATATTATTGTATACTAGAACCATTATTACGCACACCCATGCCTTTCCATGGATATGAAAAAAGCACACTAATTAGGTTCCTAGCTATTAATTGAGAGAGAATATTGAGATCATCAAGTCCCTGGCCCCACCGAGTGGAAGTCATTTGGTGTCCACCTCAACTTTGACGACATGGGGTCCCAGCTGTCACTCATTGAGGCTCAGCACGGCCAGAGTAACCCACAGAGCTGCTGCCGGGACATGATGATCCACTGACTGCTGAGGAATGGGGGCCCACCACCTGGAGAACTCTGCTGAAGGATGGGGAGAGGGCCTATAATTATTTTTATACCTTGCTGACAGGATCAGGAGGGCTAACTGATCGACACCACATACGAACCATCATTACACAAAGTCCCATAGATTAGATATGTTATCACTCACACACTCGTTCAATATGCCAATAGGCATAGTTTATAATTAAAATTATATGGGTGATATTTGGTGACACTATTATCCGTAATAACCATAGACAGATATTAATGCTCTGTGTTAGTTTTCAGTATCAAGCAGCTGGCTGATAATTGATTGATTCTTGTGCAACAGAGCTGATGAGAGCCCACTACAATGTTGAGTGTTTAACTCTTGGTGCTGCACAAGAGCACCATTTCGTTCCACAACTGAGTGCACAACAGTATCCAGTATCTGTAGTAGAAAGTTCCAGCAGGACAGAATTTTAAGACGATTCAACATCATACCTACCAACCATCCAGCTTTTTGCTTGATAATCAAGCAATAATATTGCCTATCCCACCAGAAAATTGCCAAATCCTTTTTTTGTGCTTACCTGCGATGCACCATGCCTATACATTTTGAATGGACACACCGCATTTTCAAGCAAAAATACTCCAAATCAAGCAAATTTGACACATTTCTCAAGCAAAGGTTCACCTGCAGGTTGGTAGGTATGCAACATTAGATTTCCTGAACATTCTAGATGCTGCATGAGTGTTCTAAATACACTCTCCATTATACACTACAGTACACATGTAGGTGCACTAAGTCAATCTCTACCAATCACACACGCAACGCCACCCTTTCCCCATAGCTATTCACACCCCATGAATCCACACCGTGGGTATAAACCTATCCCTATGAAACTTGGTACACAGATGTAACCACTGTTATGATGCCTAATGTAAAGGTGGAATAGAGATAATAATGTTTTGCTTAACTCTCTGCGGAACAAGAACGTGTTACAATACACACGGATATCTGTAACAGCACAGTTGAATTTGTCATGAATGTGGTATCTTTTACTCCTTTTAGGTCTCTGTGTGTTCACGCCAAACTGTTTTGCTGCTACTGTTAAACCTATTGAGATTTGTGAGTTTAATCCCCAACAAGGGGCAGTTTCTTGCTGCATTGCATAGTATGTGGCTATCAGAGAGTCGGTAGACTCTCTATATAGGGACGACACGGGTGAAATCTCA